TTCCAGTGCCTGGCCGCCGCTTCACCTCATCTCGCGTCTGTACTACTAGCCCCTGAGGGAGACCCGGATGCACCAGACATCCCGACTCCGCGCTCTTACGCGGAGGCGATAGAGGGTCCCTACTCCTCTCAGTGGCAGGCAGCTATGGATGCAGAGATGGCTTCCTGGAAGTCCACAGGCACCTACGTCGACGCTGTTCCCCCTCCTGGGGCGAACATCGTCAGTGGCATGTGGATTTTCAGGGTGAAGCGGCCGCCGGGTTCTCCGCCTGTCTTCAAGTCGCGTTACGTGGCTCGTGGCTTCAGTCAGCGGCAGGGGGTTGACTACTTTCAGACCTTCTCCCCCACCCCGAAGATGACCACTCTTCGGGTTCTGCTGCACGTTGCTGCTCACCGTGACTACGAGCTGCACTCTCTCGACTTCAGCACTGCTTTCTTACAGGGCAGCCTGCACGAGGAGATCTGGCTGCGTCGCCCACCTGGCTTCACTGGGTCTTTCCCTCCTGGTACCCTGTGGAGTCTCCGGCGTCCAGTCTACGGTCTCCGCCAGGCGCCACGTGAGTGGCACGACACACTGAGGACTACGCTCGCGGCACTTGGGTTTGCTCCTTCTACTGCCGACCCGTCGCTGTTTCTGCGCACCGACACCTCTCTGCCGCCGTTCTACATCCTCGTGTACGTCGACGACTTGGTCTTTGCCACAGCTGACACTGCTGGACTCGCCTACGTGAAGTCTGAGCTGCAGAAGAGACACACGTGCACTGACCTGGGTGAACTGCGTAGCTACCTTGGCTTGCAGATCACCCGGGACAGAGCGCGCCGCACCATTACCCTGACTCAGTCACACATGGTGCAGCAGGTCCTTCAGCGCTTCGGCTTCACGTACTCCTCGCCTCAGGCCACTCCTCTGCCTACTCGCCACTCGCTCTCAGCTCTGCCTTCGGATGAGTCTGTAGAGTCGAGTGGCCCGTTTGCAGAGCTTGTTGGCTGCCTCATGTACCTGATGACCTGCACACGTCCTGACCTTGCATACCCTCTTAGCATTCTTGCACGCTATGTCGCTCCTGGGAGACACCGACCAGAGCACATGGCTGCAGCGAAGAGGGTGTTGCGCTACTTGTGCAGTACGTCGGGCATGGGGCTAGTGCTTGGAGGGCGCAGTCCAGTGGTCCTCACTGGGCACGCAGACGCTTCTTGGGCTGACGACCAGGCTACTCAGCGGTCGTCACAGGGTTACACCTTCAGCCTTGGTTCCGGCTCTGTCTCGTGGCGGGCTACCCGCTCGTCCTCTGTTCTCGGCTCGAGTTGTGAGGCTGAGATCTACGCTGGGGCTATGGCTGCACAGGAGTTACGCTGGCTCACCTACCTGCTGACCGACCTTGGAGAGCAGCCTCGTTCTCCTCCAGTCCTGTAAGTAGACAACAAGGTCATGCTGGCCTTGTGTCGAGAGCAGCGACTGGAGCACAGAACGAAGCACATTGCCCTCCGCTACTTTCTTGCTCGTGAGCTGCAGCAGCGTGGACAGTTGCGACTTGCGTACGTGGCCTCTGAGGCCAACACTGCTGATGTCTTCACTAAGGCACTTGCGCCTTGTGATCATCAGCGTTGTTGCACGCAGTTGGGTCTTGTGCCTGTCTTGCCTCACTTGCTCACTTCTTGACCTTGCTTGTACCTTCGCCTATATATACTCCTGGTCTTGCTTGCTTGATTCTTGTATATCTCTATATATAATCTTGCATGTGAACTGGCCTTCTGGCCTTTGAACTTGTGCTCGAAATGTGTGGTGACTTTGTGATCCACCCTGAGCTTTGCTTTGATTTGCTTGACTGGTCTTGTGACCCCTTGTTCTCCCCCACTTTGCCTATGGGGGTGTGTCAGAACATTATAGCTTACTTATTTGTGTAGGCTATAGTGGGGTATCCCATAGGGGGTACAACCCAGTTAGGGTTTCCTATTTGTACTCGCTTCGTTCATAGTTCATTTCTTCTCATGACAGACATGCATTGATATTGCAATGATATATGAGATGAATGCACTAACACAAACAAACACATTCACACAATCAGAGGCACGAAAACCGACAAACCCAGCCAAAAACACGCGATAATAAATAAAATGCAAATCAACGTTAAAAGGGCAATATGGTAAATCATAAGTGACCAATAAACATTTTCTGAAATGAAATCGCCTTCCTGGCCAGCAAGGCTCCTGAGGAATGGGTTTAAGAAGTGGAAAGGAGGAACGGAAAGAACCAGTCGGTACAAAAAAAAAAAACAGAAAAGGGTATGAGGTGCGATGAAAAGACGAGAAACAACGAAGAAACAAATGAATGATGTGAGTGTTGAACAGTTAGAGCTAACAAATCGCAAGGAGAATAATGTACGGAGGCATAAAAAGAAAGAAATGAACGGGAACGAGACACTAAACGGAAGAAACGAATACGGAGGGCGTTTACAACGGAGAGCGAGAGCGAGAGCGAGAGAAAGAGGACGAGAGAGATAGAGGACGAGTGAGAGAGGACGACGAAAGAGGACGAACGAGAGAGAGAAAGAACGTGAGAGAGAGAGAATGGGAGAGAGAGAACGAACGAGAGAGAGACTGAGAGAGAGAGAGAGAGAGAGAACGAGAGTGAGAGAACGAACGAGAGAAAGAGAGAGATCGAGAGAGAAAGAACGAGAGAGAGAAAGAGAGAGAGAACGAACGAGAGATAGAGAGAGTGTGTTAAACTAAGGTTTTGAAAAAAAACATGTGTTAAAACAAGATCTAAGCCGACCTAGTTTAGATCTAAGTCGTCCTAGTTTAGAATCAAGTTGACCTAACAAACATACGTATCGAACGATTTTAAGTTGCAAGTTAGGAGCTTACCTAGCGGAAGTTCCGTAGCCACGGTTTCGACATATACCTATAGAGCATAGGGGACAAAAACAGAAGGAGAAAAGAAAAGAAAAGAAAACAAACAAAGAAAATGATAAAAAGAAGAGAAGAAGATAAGCTATACAACGGATGTGACTTCCATAGGTAAACAACGAGCTCACCTAACTACGAGTGAATGACGCATGTGCGTTAGGAAAACTGACGTAGTGGCGCCTTTGTTATTAACAAAAAGAAAAGCAACGTACAAAGAGCTTGCACGTTGCAACGTGCAGGATCGAAACAAATAACGACCTGGGGCTCGTCTATATGATTGCATGCGCTAGAAAAGCAGCTATTTGCTAAATCGAAAGGCTGAAACAGATGATAGCGACTAAGACTAATTAATCTACTCTACTTAAGTCTAGAAATAATGCTCACCTAGGTAGTAGTAGCTGAGTAAAGTGGTTGAGGAGGTCGCTGGAGCAGGCAGGGATTAAGTTGGAACTGCAAGGCACCAACGCAGAAAGGAGATACTAAAACCCTAAGCTGTTGTGTCTTTTGTCAAAAAACAAGTGGGTGTGATGAATTGTTCTCTGTTAACGTCTGGTTTGTTGTAGTGGATTGGTTTTCACGTCCGAAACCAAAGGTCGGGGGATCGAATCCCACTGGCGTAACTCATGCGCTGGCTGCGATTAGCGTATCCAAGTTTGCATGAGGATATAAAGGTACTTATCTAAAATGTTGTTTCGATAACAAATGTATTTGTGTTGTGGGTTTGGAGTTTTAGAGTGTTTTTTAGAGTGTTTTTTTCCACTTCCTTATTACAATCAAAATGCATAAAGCTCAGCAGCTTTCTATATTTCATCCACAATTATTCAACTGGAAACAATCTTCCAAGAGAGGGAGATTATTATTATGCGCTATAAATCCATTAAAAAAGCTTCTCAACCCTAGGCCGACTTTGTCGCCTCTTGTTTTTTTTGCAGGGCCCGGATTGTCCGAGCTAGCAAAAATCATAGCAATAGCCCTGGTTGTGACCGTTCACAATAGCCGATTGACCATCCTTGACAAACCGGCCATATATGTGACCAGTCGATAAGGACGTGGTGCAGATCGTCTCGATCTCACGTAATCGGTAGTCGATTGGATCAGATTGCGAGCGATCGGGTGTGATCGCCCCGATCTGACGCAATCATCGATCGCTTCCCGCGCCGCGCGATCTGACCCTGATTTTCGTCGAAACAAGACAAAACATCAACCGCGCCTTCCAGGGTAGTAATAAGTACTTTCCAGCTCAAATTTGGCGAAATCAAGCGAGTACATCTGTCTCGCGAAATTACATTGTTGCCCTATTACGCGTGTCACATTGATTTTCATTTGGGCTGTGTTGGTTGGTTCAGGGGTTCATTCTGGAAAGTTCGACTGTCGCGAGATGTTTTGTAGCAGCGAGCAGAAGCGAACGTCAGCGACGGTGGTCGCGCATGTTCGCCATTCGTCCAACCTATCGATCGTGATCGGTTGCATTCGGTTGCATCAGATCGAGGAAATCGATCGTGATCTCAAATGCGATCGACAGATTGCCCCCGATTGCCCAAAAGTACCCCAAGGACCTTCTCGGAAATTAATGATCGCGGGATCGAGGCAATCAGCCTCAGGTCACCCCGATCTGCACCACGTTCTAATTTCCCTGGAACATATCAAGCAGACCAGTCCGCTTCTGGTCCATGGCTGGTCTGCCAAATGGGTCCGTCGAACCAGAATTCGGACCATAGCAACAGACTGGGTTGCGCGGATCAGTCACATGAGACACACTCTGAATTCTAGTCACGGACCAGCTCGCATGACACCTCCTAGTGCCTCCGCTACGCCTCAAATATAACCCTCGTTTTGACCCAGTGGGTAGCGAGGCGTTATATTTGGGCTGAAAACGAACATATTTATCCTGAGCCAGGAAACATGCTTGCATCGCATCTCGTCTGGACCTAGTGTCGATGACCTAGGGGTTTTCTCTCCTCTCTTACCCGTATGGCGCGCTGAAGACGGGGCACGATCATCTCTCCCTTCTGCCTCTCACACACACCCTCCCCCCCCCTATTCCGCGCGGCTCCCTCCAGTCACTGCGGCTCATCCTCACCACCACCGCACTCCATGGCAGACGCTTCCGCCGATCCGCTTCCCCCCGTCCCGCCGTCCCCGCCAGTGGCGCCCGTCTGCGCGCCCCTCACGTCCCTCGACCAGCTTCTCCATTGGCGCCCCAGCAGCCCCGCCACGTGCGGAATCTACAACCGCGCCACCGCGCCCTTCCGCGCGCGGAGCGCGCCCGGCGCGGCGCGCGGCGAGCTTCCGCGGCGGCAGCGGCAGCGGGTGTTAGCGTGCCACGACATGATGGGGGGGTACGTGGAGGACGCGCGCGCGCAGGGGAGCGCGCGCAGCGAGGTGTACCGTGCGTGGGAGTGGGACTCGGTGGACGTGTGGGTTTACTTCAGCCACCACCTGGTGACGCTGCCGCCCGTGGCGTGGAGCAACTGCTGCCGCACGCACGGCGTGCAGGTGCGCACGGGGGTAGGGATGCGGGTAGAGGCGACGGGGTGATGGCAATGCATGGTGCGAGTGGAGGTGCGCTTGGTTGAGAGCGGTGGGGGGAGCGGCGGAGAGGGAGAATGCAGAGAGGGGTTCGGCGGCGGGATGTGCGGCCGAGGATAATAGAACGATCAAAGGCGTGTCGTTGCTGTGTCGCTTCATGCGCCTTTTGCCACGATGCCATCCTGCCATTGCACAACCTTTCGTTCCTGGCATAACCAAGCCACCCATGCACGCGTCCTCCCCCACTTCCGAATGCACCTCTGTGTGGCCTCGCATGGCCCGCTCACACGCCATGACATGTGAGCCAGCACTGTTCCGCCCCCCTTCCCTTCCCCTCCCCCCTTCTCTTCCCCTCCCCCTCCCCACCTTTCCGCCCCCCCCCCCCCCCACCTTTCCCCCCACCTCCAGGTACTGGGCACGTTCATCACGGAGTGGGAGGCAGGAGCTGAAGTGTGCCGGCAGCTGCTCGCCTCGCGCGCCACTGCTGCCCGCGCGGCCCACCAGCTCGCCCTCGTCGCGCACTACCATGGCTTCCATGGCTGGCTTGTACTGCCGGGCTGCTGGGGGGGAAGGGGAATAGGGTGGAGGAGAGCGGGGAAGGGGGGAAGGGAGAAGGGCGGAGTATGTGGGGCATGGGGGCTGTGGGGCAGGGATGGGGTGGGACGAGGTGGGGTGTGGGGTGTTGTCTGATGGGTGTAGTGTTTTTTTTTTTTTTTGAGGGCGCCTGTGGTGGATGGGATGGCGTCCGGTGCTCCTTGCTGCTGCCTTTCGTCTGGGCCACGTTCCCATGTTGCCATGCTGCACCCTGCTCTGCTCACGTTAGGACGAGTCCTCTCCCACAAGCTGTGCGCTTGCCACTTGCTTCGCGTGCATTCTATCATCTCCACTCACACCATATCCTACCATGCACTTCCCTGCTCATTGCTCATCATCACCTCACATCACACATCAAGCATCCCTGCCACCCCACTGCACCCGACCCAACCGCATGGCACGTGGCAGGTGAACATAGAGAACACGGTGGAGAAGGAGAGGGTGCCCACGATGCTGCACTTCCTGCGCACCCTCACCCACCACATGCACGCCCTCTCCCCCCACGCCCTCGTCCTCTGGTCAGCTGCCCGCCCTTCCCGCCCTGCTCACCAGGCCACCCTGTTCCCCGCTGCATCAGACTGCCTTTTGTCTGCTCTGCCGTTTGTTTCCCTTGGCTCCGCAGGCTTCACCCCGTCCCTTTTCATCCCCCCCCCCCAACCACCACTCCTAATTGCTTTGTGTCTAATCGCTGAAATGCATGACTTATTCTTCTTCCCTCTCTCCCATCTCTCTCTCACCTTCTCTCCCCCTTCACTTCCCCCTCCCCCTTGTCTCCCCCTTGTCTCCCCTTTGTCTCCCCCTTGTCTCCCCCTTGTCTCCCCCCTGTATCCCCCCTGTATCCCCCTTGTCTCCCCCCTGTATCCCCCTTGTCTCCCCCTTGTCTCCCCCTTGCCTCCCCCTTGTCTCCCCCTTGTCTCCCCCTTGTCTCCCCCCTGTATCCCCCTTGTCTCCCCCTTGTCTCCCCCTTGTCTCCCCCTTGTCTCCCCCTTGTCTCCCCCTTGTCTCCCCCTTGTCTCCCCCTTGTCTCCCCCTTGTCTCCCCCTTGTCTCCCCCTTGTCTCCCCCTTGTCTCCCCCCTGTATCCCCCCTGTATCCCCCTTGTCTCCCCCCTGTATCCCCCTTGTCTCCCCCTTGTCTCCCCCTTGCCTCCCCCTTGTCTCCCCCTTGTCTCCCCCTTGTCTCCCCCCTGTATCCCCCTTGTCTCCCCCTTGTCTCCCCCTTGTCTCCCCCTTGTCTCCCCCTTGCCTCCCCCTTGCCTCCCCCTTGCCTCCCCCTTGTCTCCCCCTTGTCTCCCCCTTGTCTCCCCCTTGTCTCCCCCCTGTATCCCCCTTGTCTCCCCCCTGTATCCCCCCTGTATCGCCCTTGTCTTCCCCTTGTCTCCCCCTTGTCTCCCCCCTGTATCCCCCTTGTCTCCCCCTTGTCTCCCCCTTGTCTCCCCCTTGTCTCCCCCTTGTCTCCCCCTTGTCTCCCCCTTGTCTCCCCCTTGTCTCCCCCTTGCCTCCCCCTTGCCTCCCCCTTGTCTCCCCCTTGTCTCCCCCTTGTCTCCCCCTTGCCTCCCCCTTGCCTCCCCCTTGTCTCCCCCTTGTCTCCCCCTTGTCTCCCCCTTGCCTCCCCCTTGCCTCCCCCTTGCCTCCCCCTTGTCTCCCCCTTGTCTCCCCCTTGTCTCCCCCTTGTCTCCCCCCTGTATCCCCCCTGTATCCCCCTTGTCTCCCCCTTGTCTCCCCCTTGTCTCCCCCTTGTCTCCCCCTTGTATCCCCCTTGTATCCCCCTTGTCTCCCCCTTGTCTCCCCCTTGTCTCCCCCTTGTCTCCCCCTTGTCTCCCCCTTGTCTCCCCCTTGTCTCCCCCTTGTCTCCCCCTTGTCTCCCCCTTGTCTCCCCCTTGTATCCCCCTTGTATCCCCCTTGTCTCCCCCTTGTCTCCCCCTTGTCTCCCCCTTGTCTCCCCCTTGTCTCCCCCTTGTCTCCCCCTTGTCTCCCCCTTGTATCCCCCTTGTATCCCCCTTGTCTCCCCCTTGTCTCCCCCTTGTCTCCCCCTTGTCTCCCCCTTGTCTCCCCCTTGTCTCCCCCTTGTCTCCCCCTTGTCTCCCCCTTGTCTCCCCCTTGTCTCCCCCTTGTCTCCCCCTTGTCTCCCCCCTGTATCCCCCCTGTATCCCCCTTGTCTCCCCTTGTCTCCCCCTTGTCTCCCCCTTGTCTCCCCCTTGTCTCCCCCTTGTCTCCCCCTTGTCTCCCCCTTGTCTCCCCCTTGTCTCCCCCTTGTCTCCCCCTTGTATCCCCCTTGTATCCCCCTTGTCTCCCCCTTGTCTCCCCCTTGTCTCCCCCTTGTCTCCCCCTTGTCTCCCCCTTGTCTCCCCCTTGTCTCCCCCTTGTATCCCCCTTGTCTCCCCCTTGTCTCCCCCTTGTCTCCCCCTTGTCTCCCCCTTGTCTCCCCCCTGTCTCCCCCCTGTCTCCCCCTTGTCTCCCCCTTGTCTCCCCCCTCTCGCCCCATCACAGGTATGACAGTGTGACGGAGGAGGGCGAGCTGAGGTGGCAGGACGCGCTCACTCCGGCCAACCGCTGCTTCTTCCTCGCATGTGATGGCATCTTCACTAACTACTCCTGGAAGGTGCGCTGCTGCTGCCACATGTGCCGCCGCTCCCCTGCTGCCCTGCTGCCCTGCTGCCCTATTGCATTGCTGCTGTGTTTCTTCCGTTCCCTCGCCCCCGGCTCTTCCTAACCCCTTTCGCTGCACTCATCACCTCACCGATTCTCCACACACACCACAGCACACGCCATGCCTTGCACGCCGCTCTCGCTCCTTTCACCCGCCCTTGCGGCAACCACCGCCCCTCCCTGCCATGCCCTCCCTCCCCACCCTCCCCTCCCTGTCCCCACCACCACGCCACCCACACCAGGACCCCGCTAAGGTGCTGTCCTCCGTGGCCCTTGCGGGCAGCCGTGCGCCCGATGTGTTCATGGGGGTGGACTGCTTTCTCGCACCGGGCCGTGCCGCCAGGGGCTTTGATGCAGGGCAGGCGGTGGGCGTGGCACTGCAGGGAGGGGCGTCCGCGGCCGTGTTTGCACCTGCATGGGTGTATGAGACTCGCCAGGAGGCGAGCTTTGACGCGGCGCAGGAGAGGTGATGGCGGAGAGGGGCGTGCCATGGCATGCATGGCTTGGCATGGCATGGGATGGCATGGCTTTGGCATCGCAAGGGATGGCATGGCATGGCATGGCTTGGCATGGCATGGTATGGCTTGGCATGGCATGGTATGGCTTGGCATGGCATGGTATGGCTTGGCATGGCATGGTATGGCTTGGCATGGCTTGGCTTTCCATGGTATGGCTTGGTTAGGGACACTTGTTGGATCGAAATCACTTGTTGAGAATTCTCAAAAGTGATTTCGATATAGCTTGGTTAGGGACACTTGTTGGGGAGATGGGGTGGTGGGAAGGAGAGAAGCGTTGTCGTGTCACAGGCGCCCCATGTGCATGGTGGTGGAAGTATAGGGCAATGTAGGTTGATTGTTTTTTCCATGCTCCTCCTGGGGTGCAACTCCACAAGTTACTGCCCTCGCACGGCACACTGCCAGCTTCCCTCGCCAGCTTATTCCCCATGCATCGCTTCCCCTCCCCCCTGCCCACTTCCCCTGCCCACTTCCCTGGCCCGCTTCCCCTGCCTTTTCGCCCTGTCCATTTTTCCCTGAATTTCTTCCTTTTCCCTCCCCCTGCGCCCCCTCCCCTCCTTCCCCCACCCCGTACCCCCCTCCCTTTGCCCTTCCTCACGCCAGGCTATGGCACAGCATTCGCACAGCCCTCCACTCACACCGCTCCCTGCGCCCACACCAACCCTTGCAAACACAGCAGGGCGGGCAGGGGGATGGGGCAGGGGGGATGCAAGGGACAGAGGGGGTGCAAGAGGGGGACAGTGAGGCAGGTGGCGGGATGAATGGGGCAGGGGAGAGTGGGGAGCGGGGAGCTGTGGCAGGCACTGTTGTGTGTGCAGGGGGCGTAGCAGGCGAGCGCAGTGTGGAGTGTGGGGGGGAGTGCGAGAGTGGCTTCCCCCTCACTCTGCCTCTCTTCACTGCCTTCGACCAGGTGTGTGCACCCATGCAAGAGTGCACCCCATGCAACTGTGCACACGTGGACACATGGCCCGTACCATGCCTCTCCTCACCCATCGCTGAATGTTCTCCAGTGTCCCTCCCTTCCCTGCCTCCGGGTCTGCATCACCTCCCCTTCCCCCCTCCCCATCGCTTTCTGCCACTTGCTTTCCACCCATCGCTTCGCTCCACTCAATCCCCCCCTCTCGATTCCCTCTCCCTCCTCCCTACCATTTCCATCTGCGCCGATCTTTCCTTCCCCCCTGCTCTTTCCCCCCCTCACATCCAACACAACACTCACAGCATTCCCACGCCACCTCTACCCCCCTCATCCTCTCCTCCCCTCCCTCAGGGCGTTGGCACCAACATTTGGCTGGCTGGCCGCCATGTGGCGAGCTCCCATTGGAGTAACTTCTCCTGCCAGACGTTACGGGTAGGAGGAGCGAGGGAGAGTGACAGGGGGGAAGGAGGAGAGGCAGGCGCGCAGGGCATGGAACAAGGGACAGTGAGAGTATCAGAGTTTAGTGCGTGGGGGTTAGGGTGGGTTGGAAGTTTGGGACAGGGGCTCGGGAGAGGGGAGAGGGAATCTGGGGAGGTGCAGTGTGGGGGGGATGGATCTGGGGTTGGGGGAGGGAGAAGGGAATGTGTATGGTGCAGTGCCGGCGCTGCCAGTGCTGCCAGTGCTTCCAATGCTGCAGGGGGGGGTTGGGGTGGTGAGCAGTGCAGCACCTGTGTGTGTACATGTGTCACACTCCTTGTGACCCTGTCCCCACTTATCCCCATGAGAACACTCCCTGCAATTCCCGACTTCCACGTTCACCATCTCATCAGCTGCCCCCCTTCCCACTCCCACCTGCATTGTTGCTCCCCCCTCTCCCTTCCCCCCCCTCCTCCGCCTCTTCCCCTCCAGCCAGTGCACATGCACACGTCACGGCCACTGCTCTCCACCGAGCCTGCCCATCCCTCCCGCTCCGTCCGCTGTTCCCTCTGGTACCCTCTCACACACACACTCCCACCCACCTTGCTTGTCGCACCGCAAGGTGGTGTCTGTAGGTTTCAGTGTTATGCCTGCTCATGCTTTTATGGGAACTCGTGTTTGCGCTTCCTGGGACCATGCTGAACGTGTGGCACTATGCGGCATGCATGGTACCGTGCGGCATGCATGGTACCGTGCGGCATGCATGGTACCGTGCGTGCGGCATGCATGGTACCGTGCGGCATGCATGGTACCGTGCGTGCGGCATGCATGGTACCGTGCGGCATGCATGGTACCGTGCGGCATGCATGGTACCGTGCGGCATGCATGGTACCGTGCGTGCGGCATGCATGGTACCGTGCGGCATGCATGGTACCGTGCGGCATGCATGGTACCGTGCGGCATGCATGGTACCGTGCGGCATGCATGGTACCGTGCGGCATGCATGGTACCGTGCGTGCGGCATGCATGGTACCGTGCGGCATGCATGGTACCGTGCGGCATGCATGGTACCGTGCGGCATGCATGGTACCGTGCGGCATGCATGGTACCGTGCGGCATGCATGGTACCGTGCGGCATGCATGGTACCGTGCGGCATGCATGGTACCGTGCGGCATGCATGGTACCGTGCGGCATGCATGGTACCGTGCGGCATGCATGTTACCGTGCGGCATGCATGGTACCGTGCGGCATGCATGGTACCGTGCGGCATGCATGGTACCGTGCGGCATGCATGGTACCGTGCGGCATGCATGGTACCGTGCGTGCGGCATGCATGGTACCGTGCGGCATGCATGGTACCGTGCGGCATGCATGGCACCACTACCCTTTGGCGTGGCACCATGGCCTCCCTTCAGCATACATGCTCACAGTCACCCCCATACCATTTGCCAGCCCTGCCATATGCCACAGGCTTCATGGAATCACTATCTCCTCGCCCTCCCCTCACCCACCCCCAACAGGCACGGCACAGCATGGGAAGGCTCTGCTGCCCTCCTCCTCTCCCTCTCCCCTTCTCCGCCCCCCAGGGTAGTTCCTGATTCTCTGGCCGACCAGGCCCCGCCAGATGTGCAGCCAGGGCCAACCACGTCAGCATGTGTGGTGGATGTGTTTCGGCCGCACGTGCATGTGCAACCAGGCACCACTCTGCATGTGTCGTACTCTGTGAGTGCACGCATGGGAGATTAGGCGAGCAGACATGTACGTGGGTGGGGGGTTGAGCAGATGGGCATGTGAGCGGGTGGGCAGGTGGGCAGGTGAGCGGGTGTGTTCCATAACATCTGTACCCGCATGCATGGTTCGAATGAACGTGGGATTTCCATCTCACCGCCCATCCATCCCCATGCGTGTATGTATCATCCTGTTCACACTCTCTCCACACCTCACCCTTCATTACTCATTTTCCCTTTCCTCCATGTGTCCATTCAACTCGTCCGTATCTCCCTCCCTGCCTGGCCCATCTCTCTCACTCCCTCTCTGTCTCTCTGCTCCCCTCCCACCGACCAACCCACCAGGTGGTATCGGCCCCTGCCTTCATCGCCTGTCTAGCCCTCTCCTTCACCCGCGTGCCAACTCACCCACCTAATCACCACCATCCCACCGACCCCACACCTCCCGCTCTCACCGCCCCAGACTCTCCCCCTCCCTCCACCATACTGCTCCTTCCACCGCCACCACACCCACCTTCCCTCCCTCACCCTTTCGCCCCGCCATCCCTCTCCTCCCTTTCCGCCTCCCCCTCCGCCTCCCTCATCTCGTGCCTCTTTCCCACAGCCGTCCGCCCTTCCCCCTCGCACCTCACCCCCCCCACCACCACTGCTAGCGAGACTCCACATCCTCTGTGCGCTTCCCACTCTGGGGAACGCAAAAGGGAAGAGGTGGAGAAAGGAGGCATACAAGGAAGAGCAGGGGAGAGTGCGGAGGAGCGTGGGGCAGGGAGGGAGCAGGGGAGACTAGGAGGGGCAGTATGGGCGGTGCGGGAATACGAAGTCCCGTGTATAGCCAATCACGTGCTGACAGGTGTACACGTGCTGCTGGTGGGTGTGGGTGATGTGGGTGATGTACCTGCTGGTGATGCAGCAGCAGGCAGAGGGGGTGACAGGGAGCATGCACCATGTGACACCGTGGAGAAGGAGGTGATGTCTGGGGGACACATGGGCGCTGCTGATTGGCTCGTGGATGTGTGCAGGGCGGCATGGATTGTAGGGTCCTCGCTTGCATCTGCACCTGTAGTAGGGGATGGAGGTGGGGGCGTGGGTGGGGATGGGGGTGGAGATGGGGGTGGGGGTGGGGAGGGCGTGTGTGATAGTGATGATGCAGCTGCCACTGATACTGGCGAGCCCACAGCCGCAGCCCCTGCTGCCACAGCAGCATGTGAGCCAGCAGGCTCAGCTGCGCCCACCCCAGAGGGCAAAGAGGATAGAGAGGACAGAGAGGACACAGACGCGCTAGTCTCAGCAGTGAAAGCCCCTGCACATGCTGCCCTGCCATGCCCTCCCCCTGCTGTGCTGCCAGCAGCGGCAGCAGCAGCGGTGGGGCATGTGCGCGTGGCAGCAGAGCCCGAAGCTGCGTGTGTGGCTCGGTGGAAGGTGGGAGATGTGCGTGCTGAGCAGATGTGGTGGATTTGGGGGGAGGTGAGGCAACACGATGGAGTGGAGAGGACAGGAGGAGAGGAGAAGGCGGGGAGAAAGGAGGGAGCGGGGAGAGAGGAGGAGGCGGGGAGTGGCGGGGCAGAAGGCAAGGCAGAGGTGGGCTTACAAGGGGAGGTTGAGGAGGATGGTGAGTGCGGGGAAGGGAATGAGGCGGAGGGGAATGAAGGAGGGAGCAAGGGGGCGCTCTTAAGCATGGTGCTGCACTGGACTCCCGATGGTGGTGCCATGGACTGTGAAAGTGCAGGCGATGCCATGCTGCAGCAGCAGCAACAGCAGCAGCAGCAGGAAGGTACCTGGAAGCTGTGCAGTGACCATGGACCTGTGAGCTGCAGGTATGATGTGCTGGCAGCGTTTGATTGGCTGGGGGCTAGTAAATCGACTGGAGGCGGAGGGCAGCAGGTTGAGCAAGAGAAGTTACCTGTCTCAGATTCAGCATCAACAACGGCAGTAGCATCAGCACCAACCACAGCAGCAGCAACAGCACACACAGCTGGCCCTGCTCCATCTACGAGTGCAGTTGCAAGCGCAGGAGCAAGGCTTGCAGACTCCCCCTTGGCAGCGCGGCTGGCCTCTCTGCACTGGCAGTGGCTGGGAGCGGCTCATGTGCCGTCCTTTGTCGTGGACTCACTGCCCCTGCCACCTGCAGCTGTTACAGCTGACGGGGGAGAAGGGCCGGGTGAGGGGGAAGATGGAGCAGCAGCGAAGGATGAGGGGAGTGGGGTGTTAGTGCCGGTGGTGCCAGTGGTGCTGGTGGTGGTGCGCCCGCGCTGCCTGCTGTGTGGGGCTGCCCCGGCTGTGGAGGTCTGCCCCTGGCTGCTGCTGCACAGGCCATGAGCATCCAGGAGATGCCTCAACGCGCCTGTCTCCTTGTCCCTTGGGCATCGGTCACAGTTTGATCTAGTCTAGTCGACTGTCTACCGCGCTTCGAGGTGTCTTGGCGCACAAGCTTCACTCGGAATAAAGAGATGAATACGCACATCTGCAATAGTGTCTGTACATGCCATGCCATGAATACACGCCTACCTATTGATCCCACCATATTTACAGAGAATGCACATTGCCACTGAGATCTAAAATATAGCCGTGAATAGCAATCGAGCACAAGTCCTAGTAGAAACAATCTCCAATTCGAGCACCGTCATAGTTGGGTAGGCACACTTTTGTCCCAGGCGTCATACTATCAACGCAGTCAAACCCATTGATCTTCCTATAGCACCCCTTGATGGACTGAAATTGCATGACTTGGACACTTTGGCAGGTGTCAGTTGGCTTAAAATAATACTCCTTGTCCGTTGGACATGTTCCAATGGCAAAAGAACTGGAGCTCCTGATGCATATCTGCATTTGCCAAAACAAGGAAAATGATTCCCTTCAACATCAGAATGCTGCAACCCACAACAATACTGGCAACACAGCCCCGTACAACCAAACAGGAACGTTCCATTCAGCAAGGCAACGTACCGGTACCTCCCGCTCAAGGGGCCACTGGAACTCAAAGTTGTTTGCTGGAATGGGCTGGTTGCAGTTGATGCCGGGGTTGAGCCGGTACAGCTCCATGGGGCTGAGCGGAGGGACCGCCGTGTTCCTGATGCTGTCACACGTGTCGCTTGCCCACGGCAGGTGGTACTCCGCACACACCGGAATGCGGTTGGCCTTGGCAGGGTCCCTCTCGATGCACACGGCCTGGGAGGGCCTCAGGGAGGAGCAGTTGAGAGCGGGGTTGAGCGCCTGAAATGCCGCCTCACACTCCGCATCCGATAACGCCGCCTCACACAGCTCCACCTGCCGCCCCACCCCTGCACACGTGTCGCCCTGGGGGGTACGGTGGGAGAAGGTGGAGAGCGGGTGGGGGGAGTTAATAACTGCAACAACCATAACTGGTGGGGAACGGCTAATACAGACAACATACAGGGTGCTCGTTTCACAAGCTGAAACAGTTCCCACAGACTTGCTGTGAAGGATGGCACCCACTGAATCGAGGTTTAAGGGAAGGCACATCCACCACCGTAATGTGCAAGTGCGGAGAAGATATGGGCCAAAACAAAGTAGAGTACAGAGGAAGATCAGAGGAAGCAGAGAGGGAGGGGGTTTACTGCGTTGGTGGTGTAGAAGACACTGCAGTCACGGACGCTGGGGATCACATAGACCTCGGTGTTGATGCGCAGGGGTTTGGCACATGACACACCCTGCACGTGTGGCAACGCGAGAGAAACAGGCGCGGACAAGTTAAACTGCAGTGCTCGTGTGCCATAGCACGTTGTGGCAGGTGGAATGAGAGAAGTGGTGAGTAGGCATCCCTGCTGTGTGTTTTGGTGATGTGTGATGGTGCTGACCTTGTTGAGCGACAGAAATCTTGCGAGTGAGAGGCTGAAGACAGCTGTGATGTGCGAGCACAGGATGTTGTCAGCTAGCACCCTGTACTTGCCTTGCGCCTGACCTGCCATATATACACAGCCGCACACATGGAGCAAATCAGACGAGCTGAGAAACAAGCACACGGTTGACGAAAGCAGTGGAGGCTGACTCCAATGTGCCCCCCTATGAGGGACCTCCCATGCCTTCGGAGGTATGTGGGGCACTCTGAACAATAAGAAACATAACACAAGCACTTGAGGGATATGCCGGTGCAATTCATGTTAGTGGAATGGATGCAAGCAGAGAATGGAAGGAAGCTATTACCAGGAGTGCAGGAGAAGCCTCCACCGATCATGGTCCCTTGAATGAAGCCCCATGGACACACACAGGAGTAGCTGCCCTTGCCATCGTTCACACACGTGCCCACCACACATGGGTTGTGACTGCTGGACCCACACACGTCCACTGGGGGGAAGCGCCACGGGAGTATTTATGGATGAGGGTGTGGTATAAGCATGAGGGGTAAGCAACAGGATGGCAAACGTGTGGGCCAATGCCATTGAGACCCACTGCCACTGCAGACGCGGCAGCATAGTAGACACCGCCTCAGCAAGGTAGAAGGGGGTGCAGTCCAAATAAGATAAGAAGTTAGATAGAAACAAGGCACTGGTATAAAGGGACAACAGAACATCCATTCTGCAAGAAGATACTTGCAGGTTAACGTAGAATAGAAATGACAATTCATGCTTCAATGGCGCTTAACACGTATGCCTTGTGCCACAACCGTAAGTACGACACTACAATACTGTATGAACAGACTTACATAACCGTAGAACATGTAAACAAAAGGACAGTGCCTTGAACAATACATCACCATAAGCATAGGTGCATGCCACCATAAACCATGTGCACATGACCATATGCAGGGGAGCACATTACCATAGGTACAGGTGTACGATCCATCGGTGTTCTTGGCTTGAGCGAAGTAGCCATCAGAGCACTTGCAGCGATTGCTGGTGCCCTTCTTGCTGCACGGGTACTGCCCACATGGGTTGAACGCGGCGCCCATAATGGAGTCCTTGAATGACCGCGACCCACATGGATCCGCACTGCCTGCATGGCATCGGTTGTACAGCAAGTGGCATGGGGGATAGTTCTCAAGCTGCACTGGGAGAAAGTGGTTCTCGATCAACACGGATCTGCACTGCCTGATCAATGGGACATGGCGCATGGGACGTGGAGTGCGGTGCATGGAGTATGGAGTGTGGTGCATGGGACATGGAGTGCAGTGCATGGGACATGGAGTGCGGTGTATGGGACATGGAGTGCGGTGCATGGGACATGGAGTCTGGTGCATCGGACAAGGAGTGTGCTGGATGGTTGAAGGGCATAAGAAAGGGTTGCAGGGGATGTGATGGGAGAACGAATGGAGCAAGCACTATCCTGAGTGGTCAGTAAAACCAGCATAAGGTAAGGGCATGGAGCTAGAGGCTTGGTGGATATGTTAGCACAAGCCTGAGGCAAAGTGAATTGGAGACTTGGTTTCACACAAGTACTCTGACACGGCACGGGGTAGTCGGTCTCACTTCTGACGACAGGGAAGAGGCCCGGGAGAGTGTTGATGCCGCAGATGCCATCTCCACTGCGAATGTCCATGCGCATGTGGCCCTGGTCGCCCCACCCTGTGCCCCATGAGTTGCGGATGATCCAGAAGGGCGGCGGCAGGTCGGGCTTAGCAGCGTCGACTCCAGATACCAGATAGCCCACTACCAACACCGCATGGTTCAGATGCTCCGTGAAACACTCCTCATCAGCGTATTTGTCGCTCTGGAAGGAAGCAATAGCAGGGAATGCACGCAGGGGATGCACGCCAGCAGGTTACAGTGTGACGGATCATAACAGCTCCGCACTGCGGAAACGTCAATGTTCTACTCCCACATACCATTAGCAGCTAGCATCTCAAACCAATCCGTCCTCTTCTCATTCCTCCCCAGAAGCTGCAACGACCGACTTAATCCATCCTCTATCTACTCTACCAGCTCAGCAGCAAGTTCCTCTGTTTCCTCATGGCCTCTCCCCTCAATCCTTCTCCTCTCCCTTTGCTAGACCCCCTCCCAGCTTTGTTCAAGGATGGCAAACTCCCCACAGCCTCGCATCGCCTCAAGGACTGAACCCAGTCGGGCGGAGGCAAGGTGGCTAGGACGCGCTCTCAATAATGGCTCAGCAAGGCCACGAGCTCAAATGACCGTATCCCCTGCTTGTCGCTGCTCCGGTGGACGCGCCAAGCATACTCTTGATCACAACATCAACCAAGCTCCGATCCCCAAACCCTTGAGGCTTCAAAAGAGGGTGTCTTACCCCATCGTAGTCTTGGAAGGAGGGTGCCTTACCCCATCGTAGTCTTGGAAGGAGGGTGCCTTACCCCATCGTAGTCTTGGAAGGAGGGTGCGGACGCCTCGATGTGCACAATGACAGGCTGGCGCTGCACTGCCAGCATGAGCCCAAACCACCCGTAGAACCCCGTGCGCTCGATGCCGCGGATGCCATAGTACTTGGGTGTGCTCGCCTGTAGGTGGGATTGGGAAAGAGGCACCAAGGGAAGAGCCCGTGAGGTGGGGAACGGAAGGAGGGCATCATAGGAGTAGCAAAATCCCAATGGCACTCTAAAAGGTACACCAGTAGCAGCTCAGCTCACGAACCAGTGATCTGCCCCTGAGGGGCAGCCCTTGGGAGTACACAGTCTCCTCCAGCAGCCCCTTGCCGTGCGCGGTGGCGTTGAGGAGGAACTGCAGCGCCTTGGTGGGCGAGCCACCGTCGCAGTTGGAGGAGAGGGCGAGGCGCAGATGCTCCACCGACAGCACGGGGGGCTGCGCCCAGTTGCTTGCGATCCTGTGGGCTGCCTCCACCGCTGCCACCACTGCGTACGCCCATGAGTCCGCTGCCATCACAAAAAAGACGGGAGCAACAAACAATGCCATTGCTGTGGTAACAAGCATGGAAAGTGACTGCTAGAACCGGGCTACAAATTAACGTAATTAAATCTGTGATTCAGTCTGATTTGTGTGAACTGCTTTTCAAAGTGGCTCGGCATGGGAAACAAGTCGAGCGGAAGCACGATCTGTTTGGTTTGAGCCAAGACTTTCAATTTCAGGTGAACTGATTTCAAGCTCGGCTAACTTAATATGCAACGAGCCTCGGTGGATCGAGTGCCGCCACTCCGCCTAGACACCTGGTGGACAAATGCGGAGATGAGAGCCACAACCTTGCGCGCATCTGGTGGGTAGGCAGGGTTGCCTCGAGCTGACCAGCTAGGCTTCAGATGGGCCTGAATCGACGACCCCATCTTATGGGACCCCACTGAACCGGCTCAGCTTGGCTAGGTCGACTGGATGACGAGAAGGGTCCAGTTCGAACCAATCCAGGCTCAGCCCAGCTGGACCTCAGTCTGATCTTTACCTTCTACAACCATTTGACCTTACGAGGCAAGAGATTGGAACAACCCAATTCCCAGTGTACCCCTGTCAATCTAGCCTACTGCTCGCTCATGAAGCGCGCCCCATGGTGGATCAGAATGCACCCAAATGTTTACCTTGTCTGTTTGCCACTCACCGCAGCCCTTTTGGTTCTTGACAGGCCACATGGCCTCGGACAAGACCCAGGAGGTGAAGGACTTGACAACCCAGGAGGGGGTGTTGTGCTGCGCGGGGTCGAATCCCGCACTGGTGTAGTGGAAGGCGGCGTTGAAGCCCTGCGATGAGAAGGAGTCCTCGTCCAACAAAAACCCCAACGCCAGGTCTGGTGGTGCGATTGAGAAGATTAGCACACATTAACAGACACATGTCGAGCGATGCTTGATGTGCGCGAGGTGCCAAAAGGGCAGTGCATTGTGCAATACTGGAATAAAACGTCTGGGACGACAGACATAGAGCTGTGCATCTACAGGTGCATGGTGAGGAGAGAAGAAGGCCACACTTTGACCTGCTATGTCCCCCCCAGTTAACAAACTGTTCTCAACTCAGTCATGCCCCCCCACTCGATTATGCTGCCCCATTCAGCTAAGCTAACATACAAAAAAAAAAAGAGAGAAAGGAATGCGAGAAGCCATCGGATGATAGTTACCTTGAGCATTGAGAGTAGGCCGTCGTGGTAAACCTGCAATTCGACAGGACGCAAGGCAAGAATGTGAAGCCTTAGTGCAATCAGCTCAAAATGAGAAATAATTTCTCATACGCGTTGTTATCATACACTTCAGCTGCAAGAGAAGCAAAACATGAGGTATGCGTTAACAGGTCCATGCATAGCATGTTTCTTTAAACGGCAGATGGTTGTTTCTGTGTATGCAGTGTGCGTGTGTGTGCACACGTGTGTGTGTGTGTGTGTGTGTGTGTGTGTGTGTGCACACGTGTGTGTGTGTGTGTGTGTGTGTGTGTGTGTGTGTGTGTGCGTGTGTGTGCACACGTGTGTGTGTGTGTGTGTGTGTGTGTGTGTGTGTGTGTGTGCACGTGTGTGTGTGTGCGTGCGTGCGTGCGCGTGTGCGTGCGTGCATGTGTGCGTGCGTGCGTGTGTGCGTGCGTGCATGTGTGTGTGTGTGTGTGTGCTTATGGTTATGCTATTGCAAATTAACACTCCAAATGACGTGTCGATGAGTTATTGACTGTGTAATTAGGTGACAGACCATACCTGTCAGTGCAGCAAAATATCTGACCGGTGTATCTCGTCTCCTGCACAGGGGTCAATGACCCAACTACCAGGTGATCCAACCCCACCTTCCTTCATCGCAATTATCCGCACCTGTCACGATTTCCCACTTCAAGATGACGTTTTCTTGGGCTGCTTCCGTATTTGATGCTACGAAGCTGAAAAAGAAGTTGGTCTCCACAGCAGTTGGCTGCAGAATGGAGCAGAGCGACACGCGAGCTCGGAGGGTGGGGGTGGGGGGCTGCTGGGGGTCGGAGGAGAGGTAGACTCGGAGAGTGCCGCCGCTGGTGGGGTCGTAGTGGATCCAGGCGTGCTTGGTGTGGGCGTCGTTGAGGATGAGAGGGGCCGTGGCAGAGGCGAGGGACACAGGTGAGCCGCCCACATTGACGCCCACGTGGTTGTCGTTGGGGTCGCTGTGCTTCACACTCAGCACCGAGTCAAACTCCACCGCCACACTCCGCTTCCCCACCCCTCCCAGCCCCACCCCTGCTGCAGCAGCCCCCTGCGGTGCGACCGCACTCACAACAAACGCCAGGCCTTCTCCCGCCATGCCCGGACCTCCTGGCGTCACAGCCTTCATGGCAAAGCTGAGGGAAACGTTGAAGGCAAAGGGCGTGCCGCACGGGCCAGGGCTGTCAATGAAATGGAAGAGGCGGATGGGCGTCTGCAGAACGGCTGCTCCTGATGTGTTGGGGGCTGATGGCGTGAGGATGAGGGTGCCGTTGAATAGCTGTGTTGCTGCTGCGGTTAAGGAGACTGGCGTTGATTGTGATGACTCCGTTGAAGGGAGGACTGCAGGCATCCGGCATTGAGAAGGCATTGTGTTGCAATGAGGTTTGTTCATCGGGAATCGTACACTGAGAGGATCACGGCAAACAATTCTTCACAAGTGTCCAATGCATACCACTGTAGGCGCAGGAGTGGGGTCCCGCCTGGTTGTCAAAGTTGCTATCGCACGTGCACGCCGATTCCTGCACAGACGCATTGAAGGAGCACACACCATGCCCGCTGCACAGGGGCTTGGTGTCCCCAGCTGCAACCCCACAGAACGCTGCACACTCCTCTGCACTCCTCTGGCGCTCATATTCCCCAGCCACCATGGAAGCATTGAGGAGACAGTTCTGAAAGACGTTTGAAAAGAAGGTGAGGTTATTCTTGGGCGGAACGACAGTGCCGTGGGTGAAGTAGTTGCGGTGGGCGTAGTAGAACTGCAGGCGGGACGATGGGGGCGCAGGCAGCCGCCCCGTGAACTGGTTGCTGGAAATGTCGCTGTGAGGGAGGCAGGAAAGTGAAGTGAAGGGCGGTGAGGAGGAGAGGAACAGATGGAGTATTGTGTGGGAAACCAAGGTCATAATTAGCGGGGCTTTGCAGGCCTCACACAAGAAGCAGTGGGTCGCACACTCAAGAGATCAAGGATTGCTTGCCAGAGTGATTAAGGATTGCACTGGAGCACTGAAGGGTATGGGATCAAGTAGAGTGTCAATCAGTTTATCGTATCACAACACAACACAGTCAATCAGTTTGTTGACTGAGAGGTCCCCATGCTTCTGCTGCACTGATGCTCTTGCTGTACATGGCATTTTCCCTCTCTCTCTGTGTTGAATGATCTGCCATGCTGGCCCTCCTGTATGCACTCACAGTGTGAGCAGGTTGGTCATGGTGCTGGTGATGCCATACATGTCGCCTGAGAGAGAGTTTCTGTTCATAAGGCTGATGGGTTGCACACCAGATGGGAAGCAAACGGCAGACAGAGTGCACCGCAAGTGATGCTTCAGACTCTTACTCAGCACTGTATGACTCTTAGGGAGCACCAGAAGCTGCAGTGAAAAATGCAGAATGATGCAGTGCAGCTACCATACTGAAAGCTAGTCTGGCCCGCACTTACAGGAGGCCTAGACTCTGCAGGTTTGAGTATGATCTGGGAACGGTGCCTGTGAGGTGCATGCTCTCCAGGTACCTGCGGGCCACACACATATACCATATCAATCGTGCTCCATCAGCAACTAATCCGACAAGGCTATCCGCGATGTGATGCGAAGCAAAAAAAATCTTCAGTGCAAGCACATGTGGTATCCCCAACACAGATTGTTCTTATAAGGGATTCGTTATACTCTGCTTCTTGCTGTTGCAATGCACTATAAACCGGACATGGTTATGTGAAATAGCTGCCCAGAAGCAGAGCAGATGTGAAGGGCGCATGGAAGTGGGAAGGGACACCAAAGACAACAGGAAGGTTAAGAAGAAAAGGCTGCATTACGAAAAAAATCAAGATGAAGAAATGAAACGGAGAGGGCGGTTATGAGGTTCGCACAGGACATCAAGGCGAGTGAGGCTTCCAATTGACGAAGGCAGGGTCCCAGATATGTTTGTCCATGCCAACTGCCTGTGTTGGTGCGAGTCGCAGAAAGGGAGTTACCAACTGAGTTGCCTCTCTCATAGTGTATATTGACTTTTCCATGCATTTTTGTTATGCAAGGAGCTGTTATCTTGTGCAACATGTTTCTGCTCATAGCAGACTGGAAAACATAACATAGTAGTATCCTCTTCGTGTTTCAATTGGCTCAGCAAAAATCACCAACAAGAATCTACGCTGCAATAATCGTTTTTTTACACCTTCATGTGAAGGCGCACTTGAAATAAGCACTACCATCAGGAGAATAGTCGCTTCAAACGTTGAGGCAAAATGAAAAGTTGCTTCGCTACGCTGCTGGCAACAGCAAGTTCACATCTCACAGGGAGCGTAGCCGGCTGAGTGCTCCTAGTGAAGCAGGAATGGTGCCATTCAAGCTGCTTACTCCAAGATTGCTGACCAAATTGGTAGGGGGGATGAAAGACAAAGATAGGCAGGGGTAGGGGTCCAAGGCAAGAGGAGAAGGACCTGAGAGATACAGAAGCGGAGGAAAGTGATGAAGAGCTATGGTAAGAATGAGGTGGATGAGATAATGCTGCTATAACACTACACATTCACATTCACATCACATGGCAAGCCAACCAACTCATACTAAAGAATTGGCAGACATGCAAATTAGGCCAGAGCTCCAGCCACCAACAAGTTCGTCACAATGGCAAAAGATGGTAGACGGAACGGAACACCCACCAAACTCGTCATTTCCCAACACCCCTTCCTTCGCCCCCCTCTCTTCCCCTTGAAAAATTTCGCTGCACACTTGCTAACCTCCCCCCAGCAGAGCCGGAGCCAGCTTGTTTGGAGAACCCACCTGCATGGACCTTCACCAAATCCATGGGGCCTCTGCTGACGACACTGTGATGAATTCTAGCTGCATCCACCAACTTACAGTTTCTGTGATGGAATATGGTTGCATACGTACGGGAATTCCCACTCTCTCAGTACCTGTTCACTGAATACCAGGTCTCTCCCTTTGGTGCACCACTGTACCTGTATGTGGCTGCGCAGTGAAGAGGCACCGCCTCTTCCTCCCTGCGTTGCTCCCATCCTCACTTGCATGAACGCCACTCTTTGGGTTATGACTCACAGCGCTTCCAGGTTCACTAGGCTGAAGAGCTCTGCAGGAATAGACCCTTCAAGGAGGCGGTTCTTTCCAATGTCACTGCACGCAAGAGAGTAGAGAAATGAGGTATTTCAGAATGGGTGGTTTCCATTCCAGCTGGTGCTGAGTGCAATGCAAGTGCATAAACACCATGGGAGGAACATTTGAAACCAAGCAAAAGGCCCCTGTAACCCTGTGCTGCAACGCAGTGGTTGAATATCTCACAGGATCATTACGCTTTGATGGAAGCCTTGACAAGTTCGTAGTATTCGTGAACGTACAGTGTGGCGAGTTGTGTCAGGCGGCTAAGTGAAGCTGGTATGGTGCCATTTATATAATTCCCTCGTATCTGGCTGCAAGGTAGCGTTTCAAGGGAGATATGTGGAAGAACATCTTTCAATACCTCGAGAAAGCAGCTCTCACAACGTGAATGCTTGAGAGGTGCTGCGCCCAAATTCGTGCCATGGAATGGAGCAGAGATTTTCTTGTGTGCACGCAGGAACTGGGTGAAACAGCAAAGGTCGCATGAAAACAGGAATCAAACTGTATGCAGGGAATGCTCCCTCTCTTTGAGGTTGGGGATTAAGGCTTTAAAGGCACTAAAGCAATTTGAAAAGACCAGAACATCGCCCGCAGGGGGTGTTTACAATGTGAATCTGTGAGAGGCATGAGTGTTCATGGGCACGTTACACGTACAGGCTACTCAGCCTGGGCATTGTGGATATCCAATCAGGAATGGTCCCTTGCATGCCCGTCGCGCTTAGGTCCCTGCGCACCTTGGCGAAACCAGGGGGGGGGGGGAAGCGGGGGAAGGGGGGGAGGGAGGTGTGGTAAGGGGAAAGAGGGTGCGGATCGGAGGGGGGAAGAAGCAAGGGATGGTAAGAGCATGCATATTCTGCTCGACGTGGCAGCCAGAGACGCTATACATACTTACACTGCAATGCAACGCATAGGTTACAGAGATACTATAAGAGAGAATATCCGATGAACGCAAAGCATCATTCCACAATAAATGGCAGAATGAAGCATCCAAGCAAGTGCTTACCAGGCTAGCTAGGGTGCCAGGCTCACAGCGACTGGAGGGTGGTGATGGAGCCGATGACAGAAGGGATGGTCTCCATAAGTATATTCCCCACGAGATTCCTGGTCATGGGTCACACACACACACATGCTGCGGTGAGTGCTTTGCCTCTGTATGAGCATTGGTACAAATGCTTCGTTGACCGAGAACCAACGTAAAGGCACAAGACACCATCTGTCTTCTTCGATATGCACGACCAATGCCCCATGAATTTTTCCATTGTCCCCAAGCCTAACCTCTGCCCACGCTCTATGAGCTCGAAACTCTCTACTTTCAACAGGTTCGAACCACAAGTGTGCACATTACAGCGATATGAGTTGGCCGAGGTGGGAAAGTGCCTCGGGTAGCGGTCCAAACAAGTAGTTCTCGTTCAGGTTGCTGCAGACGACCAAGGTAATGGCAGTAGATGGATGGATTGCATGGTAAGTGCGACAGGAAGGGGAACGAGAGCGTGCATGGTAGGTAACAATGCACCGGACCAAGTGAGAAGGCCATGTTAGGCAAAATAGATAACGGAGCAACTGCACAGTCGTTGTGCGGCAGCACTGACAGGTATGTGAGGCGTGAGAGCTTGCTGATGCCATCTGGTATGGCACCGTACAGAAGATTCATGCTCAGCTGCCTGCTCCCATGCGCACACAGGGATGGGCAGGCACGGGGATGTATGGGGGGTTGGGAGTACGATGGTGAGGTACAAGGAAGCAGTGGGAAGCAGAAGGAAGCAGAAAGGTGTCAGAGACGAGGAAGAGCAAGGGGGAGGGAGGAGGAGGGGAATGGGGGAGGAGGGGGGATTAGACGGTCAGACTGACAAGGATATGCAGACAGAGATCTGTTACAGATAGCGATCAGTAGGACATGCGTGGTATAACGAGAGGAGAATGTGCCACAGGTGGTGCAGGAGGAGCAGGAGGTGGTAGTGCTGCATGCACACTGAAGTGCGAGTGATGGCAGCAGCAGAGTCCCACCTGAGTGTGAGGACTCATCAGCTCCTTCAGAGCACCCGAGTTGCACTGCAGGTCCAATGAGAATCATGGTCGTCCAGTGATTTCCATTTTCCCTCCCACCTATCATCATCACGTTCGTTTCTGTTCTACCTCTTCACTCCTTTCTTTGGTATAGCAGACTCAATCTGCAACTGCAACAAACCCTAATTCCGGCCACTGCCTAGATGCAGTGCTCCAGTCCCCAGCCCCTGGAGAGGCACCCAGCTAGCACCCAGAGAGCACCCAGCGAGCACGCAGTGAGCACGCAGTGAGCACGCACAGGCCCTTGAGAAGTGGTAGGTTGAAGAGGCCCGAGGGAAGGTAGCCCACTAGATGACTGGCCGTGATGGATCTGACGCACAAGCGGGGGTGGGGGTGGGGGCGGTGGATGGGAGGAGGCACGGGAAAGGTGGGAGGAAGGCGTGATGACAATCAAGGGAGTTGAAGTGCAGCGACTAGTGGAATATTTCAAAAAAAGGCTGAACGACGAGTGGATGAAAGAGAATGCAGGAAACTACCTAGAGAACGTGCAGAGCAGAGGTTTGGGAATGCGTGAAACAACTCAGTGCCCGCGGCAGCCTGCAGCAGCCTTTTCCAGTCCATGTGTACTTTGCACTTCTTCCCGTAGCCTAGCTTGTTTGTTTGTTGCTGTTCCGTTCCATACTCACAAGTCACGCACGGCAGCTTACAGGAATGTGAGATGCTGCAGGCCGCTGATCTCGTGTGGGATGAACGCCCGCAGGTCGTTGCCCGATGTTGACCTGATGACGCACATCATGTTGAGTACAAGATATCATGTCATGTCATGTTGCATTGCACACAGTGACGCACATCATGTTGAGTACAAGATATCATGTCATGTCATGTTGCATTGCACACAGTGACGCACATCATGGTGCCTGATGTTGAACTGATGATGCACATAACGTGGAGTAAAGTAGAATCCCTGACTTTAGATGAGCGCTTGTGCGAGTGTTATGTGTGCAGAGTAACATTGGCTACCGGCTCCAACAATGCATCTGCGGCAAAGACAAAATGTGTTAACGCAGTACACAGGACGTGGCAGAGATGAGACCCCATGGCATGCAGGGAAGCATGACTTGGGAGGGATAAGTCTGCAAGACTACTCACAGTGAGACCACGTAGCCATTGGTATCGCAGGTGATGCCCTGCACTGTGGAGCAGTCGCTGTTGGGCGACCACGTCTTGCCATCAGCAAAGCCATTCCACGACTCCAGCAGCTGCTCCAGCACGCTAACTGCGTGCGTGGTGTGGGAGGCACGGGGAGCAACATGGGGCAGGAGGAGAGGGCTGTCATGTAGAAATGGAGACAGACAGATGGACGAGCAAATGCTAACAAACAAGCCCGGGGTGATGGACTGACGGATGGACGGATGGATGTGCGTAACAGACGGGTGGGTGGACTTATGGACGGATGGGCGGATGAAGGACGGGCAAATGGACGGGAGGAGGGGCGGAGAAATGGATGTGCAGATCAGGACTGAGGGAGCGAGGGCGGGCCGTGAGCAGGCGGTACACCCGCAGATGGGAACGTTCAAATTTGCACCGACATTGAGGGAAGATGGATTGTTTTCAATATTCAATTAAGGGAGGGTGGGAGGGGTGGATGGGAGGAGGGAGGGAGGGAGAGCAAGGCAGGCTGGAGGAAGAATGTGGAGGCAGTGAAAGAGGAAAGCGAGGAGAGCGTACAGTGAAAGTAAAACCATTTCACCAAGTGCATGCACTCCCGCCCAAGTGCATCACCGAACCCAAGGCAAAAAGCGATCCCTGTAACCTAGGGTTTTCACCTGTAAGACTCAGATGCGAGTCCGGAATAAACAACATGACAAAATGACAGTAGGAGTTGTCACCTGAACACTCTGGTACATGGGTGAAAACTCGGGCCAGATTGTATTTTTAGAGACAGCCACGAGCGAATTGAAATGGAGGTGAGCTAAAAATGAAGGGAGACAAACGACACAAGCCAAGGAAATGTTGAGTTTCCTAGCCTCAGCTGTCACGCGTGCCACGTGCATCATGATCCCCTGCCCGTACTCACAGTCTGAGGCCTGTATTCGCCGCGCCGTCGCCACTGTCGTGCCATTCGGCGAGCAGGTAAGCAGCAGCAGAAGCAAAAGAAGGCTCTGCACGGGGAGAAGGGGCTTGGGAGTGGGTGAGATGGAGCATGGCGAGGACACCGGAGCACTTCTGACGCTTAGTTTCTGTCGTTATTCGCGAGTTAATGCGTAGTAACGTCCTAGCGCATTAGGTTCGAGGCAAGGATGGGGCGCCGGGGGGGCGGGAGGTGGGAGTCGGTGAGTTACACTGCAAAGCGTACCCCACGCGCCGCGGCAATTAGTACGACGCAGTGACATCATCAGTACTACGAGAACCGTCGCATCAGGACCACCCAAAACGGACCTTCATGGCGCATGCTAAACGTCGAACGATGCTGGTCTAACGGCGGGACAAGGACAACGCGCGGAACTCGGTGGTGCATCGAAGGAGTACTACTACTAGCAGTGACTACTAACCAGCAATGGTCATCGTACCAACGGTGATAAGCCAACAGCACTGATTGAAACCAACGCCCTCGACAAGCTAGCGATGAAAGAAGATACTACTAATCAGCAATAGTACACGCCTTGCGACTACTGGAGTATATGGCGTCATGACTTCGTTGACTTCCATGGATTCCTGATGTGTTCAGATATTTTGTAGGCCAACCTGTGCTGGAGTTCGGTGCGCATAATTCTCGCTGTGATGGTTCATGTTCCTTGTTACTGATGTGAATGCAGTATTGAAGCAAGTACAGCAGCTGTAAGGAGTTCTATTTCCCAAGTGCAGGTCGATAATATCGGGTACCGATACATTCCGTTGCTCTCGCGTTAGTTGGGTTCGGCCTAATAGGACGTCTGCTTTCAGAACATGTCTGTGTCGTTTTCAAACAATATAAGTCTTTTCAAATGAAGGACATGTTTTCAAGTAAAGGGCGTCTATTTTCAATTATTGGATGTCTGGTTGAGAAAACGGTTACGGCTTAGATTCCCCACTGTTGGAATAAGAAAGAATTTCTTACCATTCCCGAAGATGCAACAACATCGCATCTGCTGTTACCGAAGCAGCACCTGTACCATTGGCGCGTCAGTCCATATAGGGCACGAAAATCAACAGTCGCAAGTCAACTGCTGCAGCTGTTGACTAACTTGGACAAACGACTACCTGCGAAAAATTGCAACAGGAGTAACTATATCTACATTTACACACAGCAACCTATGGTAGTAGCTCACAAAGCGCGATGGTCGCGGTTACTGTAGCAATGCATTCTGATACAATTTGAAATGCCGTATACCCTCGGATATAAGACCCTAGGGTCTTATGCTAAATTCCTTAAAAAAATGGGGGGGGGGGGGGGGGGGGGTCTTAACAAAGGAAAAACAATTTAGTACCTGGGTCTTTTCATACGACATATTTTTTTTGTAGTGTTTTCTGCACTACAGTTAACACTGAAGTTGTGTGCGTACTTTTGGTGAGCACCAAGCCAGCGAAAGTTGGTCGCTTGACCAATCACAACAAGGTCGCCTGTCATAGTAAAATTCGCCCCTCTAACGCAACAATTTCGCCCCCTGACACAGCAATTTCGCCACCAGACGCGACAAATTCGACCGTTGATGCGGCAAACTCACCCCCTGACGCAGCAAACCAACCCCCTGACACACGCGACAGCCAAAATCCACTATAGAATGTTTCAGGTTCAAACGAAACAAATGAAAAGTACATGGCAAACCCCCCTATAGAGGAAAAGGGGGGGTATAACAAAAAGCTTAATAAAGTACCCCCCCCCCCCCCGGTATTAGGTACTTGGGGGTGTTATATTTTTGGGTGGTCTTCTATCTAGCGGAATACGGTGAGATTTATAGGATTGCATCAGGTTGATCGCACGTAGTGTGGTAGCGGAAGGGGTTTATACAGGAATACAGTAGAATACGAAAGGTCCTAACTGTTAACGGGAATAGAGTGTTGGCTCCAGGGCTAATTTTTTGTTTTTGCCAACCCTTGCAATCAGTGTTGCACATGTTCGAAACCCTGATTATCAGTGTGACCTGTCGGAGTGTGTGACCCTCACCAGCACTTGCTCTTCTTCCTGTTGTTCTTCTTCAACACTCCTTGCTCTGTGCTGCCCTGCCTCAGTCACTCACTGCCCCCTCCTGTGCCCGTGCTTGGGTAGCTCGAGCTCGTGTCACAGGACCAGCTTGCTGAGGCTTGCTCCCCCTCACCAGGGCCGTGTTGGTCTGGTGCTCCTTCAGCTGTGCCCCCTTTTCGTTCTCCAGCACGAGAATACCCGAGGGCTGAACTTCCTTCACTCTCCACCTCTCGGTCCCCACCCCGACATCCAGCGTGTCCTGTTTTGCCCTTTTCAGGTACACCTCCTACCCCTCACTTGCTCCCTTTTTCTCTCTCCTTCCCAACATCCCCTGCTGCTGGCGTTGCTCATAACGTCTGGCGTCTCTCAGCTGTGCCGTGTGTAGGTTTTCTAGCGCTGCTGGCATTATCACTCGGAGGTACCTTGCTCTGGCCTCTGACAAGGCCACCCAGTTGTCTATGGTGCCTGCTGTCACTGTGTCCGTGAGGACCCGTGGTGCCCCCACAGGTAGCACCGGCTCACAACCAAACAGAAGGCTGTAGGGTGAATGGTCTCTCAGGGCTGCCTGCTTCCCAAACCTATATCCTGCCGCAATCCAGTGTAGCTCATTATCCCATTCCCGCTTCCTTTTCTCCCCATATGCCCGTAGCCCTCGCTTCAACGTCTGCACTAGGCGCTCGGTCAGCCCATCACTCTGTGGGTGATACCGAGAGGTGCGCCTGTGGGTGATTCCTGCTTCCTCTAACAGCTCCCTGAACTCCCTTTGAAACTTTGTGCCTTGATCAGTGAGCACCTCTGCACACGCCCCAAATCTGCATATTACTTGCTCCTTGAATGCTGCTGCCACATGTCTTGAGCTCTTGCTGGGGATAGCCCTCACCTCCAGCCACTTGCTCACGTGCTCCACCATGAGCACTATGTACCGTTTCCCCCCCCGGCTCAGCGGCAGTTCCCCCGCCAGGTCCAAGGACCATCTGAAGCCTAACCCGCGGATGGGCAGGGACTGCAGCTCGGCCTTGGCTTGGGTCAGGTTTGCTCGGCTCCTTTGGCAGGCCTCACATCCCTCCACCCACTTCTGCACCTGCCTGCGCATTCCCTCCCACCACCAGCCCGTCTTCAACAACTGCACTGTCCTCTCATGCCCGAAGTGCCCCAGCTTTGAGTGCACCTCCTTTATCACTGCTTCCCTGTCACCTGGGGCCGGCACCAGCTTCCACCCACCCTCGGTCTGTATCTGCAACTGCTGCTGGTACCACCTGTAGTGGTGCCCCCTTGCTCTTACCCTCTCGCTCATCTCCTCGTCTGCCCCTGTCTCTCCCTTCACCCATCTCACAGCCTGCTCATCCTCCCAGATATCAGCCGGCCCCTTGCTCCTCCTGGCCCTGCTTAGCTCCACCTGTCTGGCCAGCAGCGCAAGGGTCACTGTTGGCTCTAGCGGTGGGGGGTTACGGGAGAGGCCGTCCACATGCTGCAAGGTTTTTCCTGGCCTGTGCTTGATTTTGAAGTCATATTCCTGCAGCTTCATTGCCCATCGTGCATTCCTGCCTGTTAACCCTAGTGTAGTCATCAGCCATGTCAGTGGCTGGTGGTCCGTCACCAGGGTGAACTCCCGCCCCTGCAAGTAGACCCTGAAGTGCCCCACAGCCCATACTGCCGCCAGTCCCTCCTGTTGGTGTACGGGCCTAATAAACTCAAGCTATTAAGACTTTATCACACTTAAAACCTCTCCTCGGGGTCACCTCCAAGGGTCCTTGGGTGCCTGGTACAAGACCAGCCCCTATCCTCGGGTCCGAGTTTGTAGAGAGAGGGATCAAGAGGGACTTAGTCAAAACAACAAGAGTACCTTGAACGTCGCGCAGCGTATCGTGCAGACCGTCGATCGGATTAAGCTGAGAATTTCCTATATCGAAGCTCACTCTAAGAGCTTTAAAATAAGCCAAGTTGCCTCGCGAAAAGTTCTGCCATTACGAAGTTATGGCTCGGACAGCGTTAGCCTAGCGTTGGAGTGCTAGCGTACTAGCGTTGACTCGGGTAGCATTCCGCCGTCGCACCGCGTAGAAAAGAAATTCCAGCAAGGAAGGAATTCGCTTGAATCAATTTCACTATATTCAGGTACAAACAGAGAAGGAATAAATAGCTCTAGCTAGCAAGGACCTTGGGAATCAACCTGGGAACAACCAGGGATGATCCCAAATAATTCCAAGCAACAGAACCAACCTGGCTGGACAAAATAGCAGGTGATAGGTTGGTGAACAACCTCTGGTTCTGTTTTTCCAACCTGGGAAAACAACAACCAGGTTCAGGTCCTAAAAACAGAACCTGTTTTGTCTTTGCCCAACCAGCCAAATGCTGGTTCCGCTGGTTTCCCCTGGCCCTGTAGCATGCAGATACAGACAAACAACATCCAACCTTCACCTAAATTGTACCCCTATAGTGCCTGCCCTGCTACACTATAGTCAACCAAACAAAACAGTACAATTTCGAGTTGGATAGAACTGAATCTGCGCAATCAAGTAAGTTGAACCGCAAAGCTTCCATCTTGGGTTCCTTTGCGAGCTCGTCCTTTCTGCTTGTACTGTTCATAGCGCGTACAATGTTATGCCGAAGCGCACATTTTGCGAGTACCTGCAAATGCTTCAAGCGAAAATTGCGAAAGCAAACAAACACACAAACATACCATTCACACGCAAATGCATTCGCACACGCATACTCGTACAAACAGACGGCAGGATGTCGTGCAATGTGAATTTGCACCCAACAGCTTCAACCACCTGTGATCCAGATCCCTCTCCACGTGCATCCCGAGGTAGTACTTTACCTCCCCAAGGTTCTTGCACTTGAAGTTCTCCATCAGCTGCTGCTGCACCTTCTGGATCTCCTTCATGCTGCTGCTAAAGAGAAGAATGTCGTCCACATAGACCAGAAACAGCACCAGCTTCTCCCCCTCCCCCTTGAGAAAGAGGCTCTCATCACAGCTGCTGGTCCTGAATCCCAACTCCT